CATCTCACCTGGCGTGGCCTGCTGAAGCTGTGTGTCTCAATGACACAACAGTTTCCAGTTTACTTGGCATATTTGCAATAGAAATAATTCCTTGTACCATCAAAGACACACAGGAGATTGTTCCTAACAGTGTGCTCATGATGTCCCCAAGTTAGAATAGCTCTACTGTCCACCAGCCACAGAAGGGATGTATGATTTGAGCAATCGAATACTGAACAGCAGTGGAAAAGAGGGAACTGCCGTCGCAGGCGGCAGCGAGGACAGCCGTCCTGGGCAGCAGCGAGGACGGCCCAGGGCATCTGTTGCATCAGGTAAGTCTACGAAGAATACACCTCACATGAACTGATTTTTGGGACTCTCTAAGCAGACAAAAGTCATTTTTGTTCTTAGAGATCATCAGAATAATGATTGCCCTAGCAGCAGGGTGTTCATTGATAAAGGGCACAAAAGAGCTCTCTTTGGCTCAGCGTTTCCTGTCCTGGTGAGGGCAGCAGGGCCTGGGCATCCTGTGAAAACACGGAGTGCACACCTAGTGTATGTGTGCTGTGGAGGGGAGCTCGATGGGTGGGGGGATGTCATGGAGAGTGACCTTGGAGGTCACCAAGGGAGGGAAAGCAGACTGCAGGATGTGAGGGGCAAGACCAGCCCCTGAGGGGTGCCAGTAGTTAGCCAGCACAGAGAAGAGTGCCCAGCAAAGATGTCTGGTCATGCAGGAATGACCAGAGTGTTTAGAAAGCACAAAGCTTGATGAATGTCCCAAACAGACACCAGTGGAAGACAGCCACCAAAGAGCAATTGACAGATGGTACCCGGGTCCACTCAGAGGTCTTCCTTGACAAGGAATGGGACATGCCCATTAGGTCTGGACAGTGAGCAGTGGCAGACGCAGAGAGCAGGTTGCAGAGGGGTGAAGAGTAGCACGAGCAGAGGTGTGAAGTCTGGAGTATTGTAAGAAATGCTCCTGGGAGTGAGTGCGAGGTGAGCAGCCCACAGACCTGCCTGAGCTAGAGGGAAGGGTGAGGATGATGAGCAGGTCTGCGGGGTGGGGGAGTGGGGAGAGGAGAGGAGGAGGAGAAGAAAGTGCAGCTGCTGGGGGTTCAGTTCAGGTCAGCCCGTGTTCAGTAGCCACAAGGGGCTGTGCACTAGACTAGAGAGAACTGAGATGTGGTCTCTGACTTGAGGTCAGTATGCACCAATGTGCATTCTCTTGTGCCCATGCACACACACAGCTGCCTTCACTGTGAGAAGGGAAGGGATTTGGCAAGCGTGGCCACAGATGAAGCACATGAGAAGAGGGCATTGAGGACTGTCCTGGAACTGACCCTGGGACTGTGCTGGAGAAGGGCAGAGGGTAAAATGATATGGTGCACCCCGTAGGCTATGAAGGGGGCTCTGGGACGACTGCAGGGTCGTGACAAGGGGCGCACTGGCCTATGTGGCAAGAGAAGGTCCAGGATGTCCCTGAGAGCACCAGAGTGGCAAACTGCTCTGGGTTGGGTCTCAGCAGCCCCTCAAGCCTAAGGCAGAGGCTTAAAAGCCCTCTGCCAGGGTCTGATGAGCACCTGGTGGAAGGCCAAGGTGGGCAGAGGGACCGAGAAGCAGACCAGCCAGATGCCAGGGCCTCTAACTAAGTCCATTCACACCCAGACCCATGTGCTGCAGCATGGCACTGCTCCAGCCGGGCAGGGCGTGCCCTCCCACTGTGCATTTAAAACTGTTCCAGAGAAGTGTGAGGTGGCTCCTATCCTCACCTTAAGGTTGGAAAGGCCTTGGCTGGTTTGGCTGTGCCACGTCATCAGGAGCTTTGTCATGTGGGATGCCGTCAGCCAGAGACACGCTGGGTCTCTCCTCGGTCCCCGCTACATCTTTCAAGAGTATCTACACTTTATTTCCTAATAGTTTACACACCATAGATATTAAAGAGTTTTTATTATAACATTTTACCTTTAAGATTCCATGATGTATTTTGAAACAGCCCAATAGAACAGAATACAGTCTCTAGAAGCAAGCATGCCCACAGGGGCACCTGGTTAATGACTTGGTGACCAAGCACAACTCCAGAGAAAAGGTGCTTTAAGAAGTGTTTCTTAGGTCAGTGAATGGGACATAACCTTCCTGTGCTCATACGTGAACACATGACCAGTGTAACTCCACAAAATCTTGTTCAGCCATAAGAATGGGCTCAGGACTGTAATGGGTCACTCCCCATGTATGTGTCATATCTCAGTACACCCTGCTGTCATGCACATCTAAAAACAAGTTACAAAAAGAAAACCTGCACCCAGGGCCTGAGCACTGGCCACGGGGCCCAAGATGGAAGGCTGGCTGCCATGCAGCTTCCTGGACTTGTGATAATGTGTGGTCCTGGGAAGCAGCAAGGCCATCAGGTCCCTGCAGTTTGGGTAAGAAGGAGGGGCTTGCGTAGCAATCCAGGACCAAGGTGACTTCGTCCTGCAGAACACAGGGTTACCTGGAGGCAGTATCAAGGACATTGGGCGCATCCCCGCCCTTGAGCCCCACACCTGGGTGGCTTTTGTCTGTGCCGGGAAGTGGCCTCAGGAAGCAGCCAGCACAGGGCTCCTGGCAGGGTCGACTCAAGGTGGCCATGGTCAGGCCAGTGGGAACCTGTGAGTACCCATGTGCAACACACAGTTTACCCCTGAAGCACAAAAGCCATCACCAATTTTGTGTGCATGTGGACACCGAATGAAAGACTCAGCAAAGAGATCTAAAAATAACAAGGTATCAGAGAAGAGTATCTTTGGGGACGTAGCATAGGCAAGTATTAAATGCCACACAACCATGAAGGAAGTGACCAACACAGTTACCTGGTAATAAGTTTAGAGAATGATGTTGACTAACTTAAAAAAAGAAAAACAACTATGTGGATGTGAATACTACCAAGTGGGAGAAGTATTTTCAAATCAAATAACCAACAAGGGGTTCATAAGGATGGGAGAGGTGAAGAATTTCTACAATCAATATGAAAAAGAAAACAGTGGAAAAATGGGCAAAACAGATATACTTCCCCCCAAAGAATATCCAGATGTCTGTTCTGTGCAAAGGTGGGTGAGCTCGTGAGCCACTCAAGAAATGACAATGAAAATGGCAGGGACGTGTGATCACTAACCCCCGAATGGGGAAGCTTGTGAAACGGAACACAGCTGCTCCTGAAGCGCACACCTGTTCCTGATGATACACAGCAATGGAAATCGTGTTTGCTTTGGTCAATGTGAGCAGAAATTGGCATCATGTTTGGAAAACTATTTGGGTGAACAATTTCATGTTTAAGAATGCCCGCAGGATTTCATTTCATTCACAGGAAAAGATGTTTAAAAGAACACAGAATTATTTTAAGGGCCAGTAATTAGTAACAACCAAAATGTCCATGGTCAGTAGGAGGATGAGTGAATGACCATGTCAGTACTGTATGCAGGTGGTTCCTGACTTACAGTGGTTTGACTTAACGGTTCCTGATTCTCTCATGCTGTGAGTTACCCTTTCACTGCTCTGCTTTCCCTTCCTGGACATGTTGAAGGATTTTAGGTGACACTCAACACTGGTATCAGAGAGGCTCCTGTGAGATGATTTTTCCCATCCCAAAACTGATGTGAGCCTTCTGAGCATGCTTAGGTAGGCCAGGCCGAACTGTGACCTGTAGGTGACAAGTATTGGATGCAGTGCAGCCTATGATGTTTCCAACCTACCTTGGGCTTACGGGGTGTAATCCCATTGCAACTGAGGAACATCTGTAATGGAATCATGTACAGTGGACAGCCAAGGGCTCCGTTACAGGCAGCTGGACATGGGCGAGCAGTAGTGGTCAAACAGAAGACAAATCGTGCATACCTCTCCATGGAAAGTTCTGTGAAGACAAAGTACTTTTGTCTTCACAGAACTTTCCATGGAGAGGAGCTTGTGCCACCCAGATCCTGAAAATGTGGTTAGTCAGGATAAGGCTAACCCGGAGGGCGAGGACAGGCAGGTGGAGTGAGCCGTACAGTCTCTTGACCTGCAGATGTTGAACTTGCTGAGTTGTAGATGAAACTTGTGTATTTCCCCTTGGAATTAGTGTTTTTATTGTGCATGTACAGACATATGTGCATATACCAGAAGGGATAAGTCCTGCTCTGCATCCATGTGCACACACACTGCGTGTATATGATGTATACAGTTATGGTCACACACACACAGTGCAGCTTTTTACTTTCTCCCAGGTCCATCCTGAGGCTAGGAAGGGGCTACCAGGTCCCAGGGCCATGCTGTCTGTGCCCAGGGTGTGATGCCCAGGAGCCTGGGCAAGCTCTGCCCCAAGAGAAGCCACCCCGATGCCCAGACCCCCTGCAGCTCCTTCGCACACGGGCTCTCGTTGTCAGACTGGGCCACTCACAGCCAAACCTGCTCCACCTGATGCCAGACTCGCTCTGCGGGATGGCTTGGTTGTTGATCTTTAAACAGTTATTATTTTTAATAGCTCCTTGGCACTGGTGTGGAAGATGGGCTGAGGGAGCGGGCAGGCAGACCCTTCACTCACATCACGGGAGGCCACCAGCCAGCCAGGCTCTGCGTCTGGGTGAAAGCTGGGTTAGTGAGATACACATTTTTGTCTGACGACTTTAATCAGGATGCACAATATCTATCTATCCTCTGACCAACTAAAGCCTGGGAAATGGCCCAGAGATGCAAAGGAGGAGGCAGAAGGCAAGGCCCTGCTAGGTGCCCACCCAGGCTTCTTGTGGTCAGGCTGTCAGTCCTCCCCAGAGTTCTGCATGGTGCCCACCCAGTCTTCTTGGGATCAGAGTTCTGCATGTAGACCAGCCTTCTCCATCCGTGCATCTCACACGTAATAAACATCTGGTCCATGAAATGCTCAAAGGACCTTGGTGAACATGTGCCCCAACACCTTCAAGTGCATTTTGAAGTAGGGAGCAGTTGGAAGATCAGATATCTCCATAGAGCCCTTCAGTCCAGGTCCATGGACACTCTCACCAGAATTTTCTTCACATGGCGATGTGCCTCTGTCCCAGCCTTTGCAGAGCATCCTTCACATCCTTGTTCCGCAGGCTGTAGATGAGGGGGTTGAGCATCGGGATGACCAGGGTATAGAAGACGGAGACCACCTTGCCCTGCTCCATGGACCCCACAGCTCCTGGCTGGGCATACATCACAAATAGTGTTCCATAAAATAAGGACACGGCTGTCAGGTAGGAGCCACAGGTGGAGAAGACCTTGTGCCGCCCAGATCCTGAGCGCATCCTGAGGATGGTCACTGCGATGTAGCCATAGGAGACCAGGACCGCTAGTGTAGTGCTCACAATGATGAAACCACAGAGGCCAAACAGGAGAAGCTCATTGAGAGCCGTGTTGGCACAGGCCAGCTGGAGCAGCGGGGGGACGTCACAGAAGAAGTGGTTGATGCGGTTGAAGCCGCAGAAGGGCAGCTGGAAGGTGAGGCTGGTCTGCACCATGGAGTTGAGGCAGCCTCCACAGTAGGTGCCCAGCACCAGGCGAGAGCATGTCTTGGAGCACATGGTCGCAGGGTACTGCAGGGGGCTGCAGATGGCCAAGAAGCGGTCATAGGCCATCACAGCCAAGAGGAAAGTCTCAGTGGTAGCCAGTAAGGAGAAGAAGAACAGCTGGGTGGCACATC